AATTGCACTGTGAATTTCATATCAGGACAGGTAGTGGTGAGAAATAATCAACAGGCAAGTCACTGAGGGTGATGTGTTTACAGCTATCAATAAACCAACGTGGACTGGAACATTCATGTGATCTTTGTAAAATGCCTTCTACAATAAAACAGCATAATGAGCGAGTCTTCCCTGACACACTGAAATAAAGACATTTAAAAAGAGAGCTGGGTGCAGAGGTTTGACAACAGTCGCTGGCCACCGTATATTCCTTTTGTATCTTCAATGGACTTTAATTACATCTCACCAGCCCCTACCAAGTAGAAAAGACTTATTCCCACTAGACTGACTCTTACTGGGCATGTTTTTTAATCTGTCTGGCTTTCCAACCCTCTAAGATGCGATCGGAGTTTGAAAGTTCAGAAGGTTTTTAAATTAACTTTAACAATCAAACAGCAACAGGAATAAAGGAAGGGCCCTTATCTGACCTGTAGTCTTGTTTTTCCTTTTGTATCAGGCTAGTAGCTACAGGCAGCTTTCAGAAGTTCGTTTAGGCTTTTGATTCCATCTGGCCCTTCTTGGTTTGTTCTTTCCCATGTTCTCACACCTCTGGTTGCATGCACAAGTCTTTATAAGCTGCCTCCACAGTGTGGCAGACTTGCCTGAGTTCGGCTTGGATCTGGCTGATCCTCTCCATTATCTCCGAGAGCTCTTGGAGCTTATCCTGCATTTGCTTGTTATGGCGATCGTAAATGAGAAACATCATTTCCTCCAGTTTCTCCGCCAAACTTGAAACCTTTTAGAGTGCAAGGAAAGACAGGCCTTAGGAATTATAATGCAGTAGAGGCTGATGGCTTGAATATTATGAGTTACATTCTCCCCTACTCCTGGAGTAATGGGATGCAGCTACCACTGATTTTAATGGGTGCTCTGCCATATTGGGATGAGGCTGAGTCTTGTCCTAAGTGTGGCTTTTTCATGAGTTTTACACGGAGGAGACTAAAACAGATCTCTATAACTGTAAGGCTGTGTCTACACTGGCATGAATTTCCGGAAATGCTTAAAACGGAATACTATTCCGTTTTCAGTTTTTCCAGAAAAGGAGCGTCTACACTGGCAGGCTGCTTTTCCGGAAAAGCGTCCATGGCCAATGTAGACGCGCTTTTCCGGAAAAGAGCCCCGATCGTCATTTCTGCGATCGGAACTTTTTTCCGGAAAAAGACTACTGGGCTGTCTACACTGGCCCTTTTCCGGAACAGTATTCCGGAATAAGGACTTATGCCCGAGCAGGAGCAGGATAGTTTTTCCGGAATAGCGGCTGATTTTGTACAGTTCAACGTCGTTGCTTTTCTGGAAATTCAAGGGCCAGTGTAGACAGCTCGCAGCTTATTCCGGAAAAGCAGCTGATTTTCCGGAATAAGTGGCCCAGTGTAGACACAACCTATATGTTTAATGCAGCTTCTTGCACCAGCTTCTGAAAGCAGCGGGAGCTGGTTGTGTAGGACCCAGGATACTGATTTGAGGGACTGCCAGGCTGAGCCAGTCTGGCAACTTCTATCTAGATGCCAACCCTGCAACTGGATCGATGCAGCAGTTCAGTGAAACTCTATGAAGCTCTGCCCATGTGGCTCTGATGGCAGGAGTGGGATCTTCATGGAAATAGCAACATGGTATACAAGAGAATTCTCCCCTCCTAGTGGCTATGTGCCCTAGAGAGCGAGACACTGAACTGCAGTTCAGGACACTGGGGTCCTCTTCCCAACTCTCCCAGGTGGTAGGTGCTTACCATGATTTTCAAAAGCCCCAAGCTACATTTTTTGGACTCCTAAATATCTTTGAAAATCTGAGGCAAGGCCTTAATGACAGCCTCAGCAATGGTAGGGCAGGAGTAACTTCCACAGTGCATGGAATGTGACAGTCCGATGTGCCGAGCTGCTCGAAGAGGCCACATGGACGGTTTTGCAAGTGCCAGTTTGAAGGGGGAGAAATGTTGGTTTGTGCATCTGCCGGAGATGGAAGTGGAAGCCTAATAGCGTGTTGGAATTCAGCAGTCAGGAGGTGGCAAAAATTTCACATGACTTTCCTCTGAACTTAGTTCCATGTTTTGAAGGCACTGGCATGAAATGAAGCTTGAGTTTGTTCTTCCATTTTCATAATAGTCCCTAGCTCTTATCAGTAGATCTAAAAGTATCTCATGAAGGAGGTCAGTACTATTATCTCCATTATCTGGAGGGGAAACTGAGGCAGAAGGAGATGAAATGACTTGCCCAAGGTTACCCAGCAGTCCAGTTACAGAGCCAGGAATAGAACCTTGGTCTCCTAAGACCTAGTGCTGTCCTATAAACCACACTGCCTCCCTTAATAAATATCTCACTCTAATATAGCACTTGGGAGTCCTGGGTCCTATACCCAGCTCTTCCATTGGCCTACTGGGTGAGCTTGGACAAATTGTGGTGACGGGCCTCAGTTTCCCCAGTTTACAATTATTCTGACCTTTTGCAAGGTGCTTTGAGATCTATGGATGAAAAGAGCTAGATGAGAGGCAGCTGTTCTTTATAGATACTACATGTTAGAATCTGCAGTTGATTTTGTAATGGAAAGCTGCCTGCTGTTGCATTATTTTTCTTTACATTTACGTCAAGTGCTCCAAAGTATCTGATTTAATTGCCTCAGAGACCTGGAGAACATTAAGACTCGTGCTCTGTGACTAATGCAATTAGAATAACATGATTAAAATACATTAAATAAACATTCTGAGTGCACAATCTTTAATGATGTGTACGCGGCTGGATGGAGAGATTAGCGAGGCAGCTTGATCGGCTGGGGATGAAACGATGAAATGCTGCATTTCACAGGGATTTGAATGAGTATTTCTGAGGAGTGATCATGGGATTTCCCTTCTGTTGGCAGGTAAAGTGGTTTTACATTCAAAATGCTGACTCTCTACTGATTTGCTCTAACATAGCAGAAGATCAGAGAACATGGGGTTGAAAAGACTGATCAAGGCCCCTCTAGTCCAACTACAGTCTAGCTGCTCCCTACTGCCATGCTATGAAATATTCCTCTGATCAGAAAGGACCCTAGTGCAGCTTTTGCTTGGGAGGGTGTAGCAGGGTGGTCATAGCCCTGGGAAAGGGCTGTAGATAGAGGGCCAATCATGAGAGGCCTTGCAGCAGCCAATCAGAGCCCAGGAAAGCTATATAAAAGAGATGGCTGGCCAGCCTGAGTGCATTTTCACTACAGCACTGAAGGGAAAAAGACCTAGCTGCTGGCTAGCCAGGGTACCATGGACAGAGCAGTGTGAGGGCTGCAGAGAGGCAGCAAGGGCAGGCAAAGGCGGCAGGTCCACACCCCCTTGCCCCTGGTGAGTGGCCATGTCAGACTGCAGTTTGCCTCTGAGGTAAAGGACTAGATGATGACCAGCAGTAGGGTCACTGAGGCAAGGTGGGCATGGGAGGTTGGGGGTTCCCTGATGGGGAGGACCCCAGAGTGTGGAGGGACATGGCTGCAGGGCAGTACCTGAAGGGAAAGGTGCTGCAGTCTGGGAGAGACATAGGGCCTAACACAACGTGGCAGAGCCATTCACCCACAAACAGGGAACAGCAGATGAGACACCAGTTGGTAGATGGTGCTGAATGGAGCTAATTCCCAGAGTGACCAGCAGGAGGCACCATGCCAGTGAGTCACACTGTTCCAGAGAGGCAGCTAGTGAGATTCCAGGATGAGTGTGAGGTGAGGGGGATGTGCTCAGAGACACAGGCCATTCATGCAGATGAACCGGGCCTCAGGTCAATTCCCTGGGATTCAGGGTGGGTCCCGCAGCCTGTTCCATGCCAGGGCAAACTCTGCCTGGAATGACATGGGGTTTATATCACGGAAGGGGGCAATCCGTCCCTACAGGTACAGCATTTTCCTCTGTTTTCCTTTGCTCAGTGCTAAAGTGCCTCCCATTTTACCAAGCTAACTCACTCCTCTTCCTCCCCCGAGCCCTCGTA